GCTGGCCTCTTGATATTTCATTGTGTGCCTGTATTGCTGTTTAGTTAACTGGTTAGCTGCCTCCCTGATTTTGCCATTATTAACAACCCTGCCACTGACCTCATTGATCAGAAAGAAGGAAGAAAAACCAGCACAAAGAGATCTACATTTTGGTTGATTTCCTTAGAGTGATTTTTGGCGTGGAAGTTCAAGTGTTGGTGCTTAGTGCCATATTGCGAAGGGGGAAATGGCCACAGCCGGACCCTGGTAGTTTTTTCAGAGTCAAGAGCTGTACTTCAGGCTAGATGGAGAGAAGCAGGCCTTCTAGGATCCCCAGACCGGACCCTTGAAGGATGCAGGAGATGAGAGAACGTTGGCTCTGGACCCTCAGAGCTTTCCTGTTCTAAATTTGGGCTGTCAGAAAAGCCATGACTTTTTAAAAAATGTTTTTCTGTGCAAAAATATGCTATGACTTTTCTGACGACTCAGTAGTTACCAGACACCCAGAGGCAAAGGGATGGAGATTCAGAAGCTTTCTTGTGATCTGGATTCACCCTGATTTCACTGGAATATTAAGCCTTTCTATTATCAATAGAAACTTTACTAATTTAGGCCCTTGCAGCCTTAAATTCATCAGGTTCTTTGATGAGTTTCAGAAAAATGTTCCTTAAAGGCGGACCAGCAGATGGCATAATGGTTAGAGCACTGGACTCCCACATAACCCACAGTGGTTTGAGTCCTGGACCAGGTAACTTAAGACTCACGCTGAGCACATGTGCACGCGTGCCCGAGATCCCAAGAGGAGAATGGAGGAGAAGGGATTGAGGCATGGCCATCCCCCCTGAGGGATTTCTTGCTTTCTGTCTCTCTGTTTATCTCTGCCTCTCTGGGGAGTGCATGCACCCTATAGCAAAAACCTCTCAAAAAAGGAAAGTGTTCCTCGAAGCTGTGGTACTCCACAAGTACTATTGGCATCACCTAGGAGCTTAGAAATGCAAATTCTTGGACCTATCCCAATCAGACTCTTGTTTTAACCAGCTTCTGGAAGATTCATTTGAGAAATACAGCTGGAGGTGCCTTACAAATAGCCCCGTATGTCAGAATCTCCTGGAAGGGAGGTGGAAGGTGGGTGGGGTGAATGTCTTGTCAAAAATGCAGACAGTACAGTTTCCTTGGCCTTATCTCAGCAGATTCCCTCCCTGGGGTAGTGCCAGGGACCAGTATTTTTAAGCATTGTATAGTAGTAGTGCCTGGGCACGCAGGAGCAGAACGACATTGCCTGACAAGAGCGAGGTCTTCCCAGCAGTGGTCACGTGGCTGCCACGTGCATAGCACTATATAGTTTCCAGCCACTGTCGTGTCCATTGCATTTGGGAGAAGGGGGAAAGGGAGACTGAGGCAAAGGAGAGAAAGTGGCTGGTGAAGGTGGCAGCGAGCCCCCAAGTGCTGGCGCCCAGCCTGGTTCTTTCCACAGGGTTTGGCACAGCGGGCAGGCGGTGAGCAGAACCAGGCCTGTGCTCACTGTCTAGCAAGCGGGACGCCCATGAGAAAGGGCACTGCGTTCACACTTGCATTAGAGGCCCATGAGTGCTGCGGGACACAGGGCAACCTGACAGGCCGTCACCAGACGGGCGAGTGCTTGTCCCCACCCATGGCCTGTGGCCCCGTTCTCAGTCTCGCCCACTGTTTTCTCTCTTTCTATGTTGGAGGGTAATGGACACGTGTTGGCTGCCCCACTCTTTTTATCTTTTCAGTTTTTTGAGTACACGTCCCAACATGAGATACGCTACAACACCCACCACCCAGAGGTCTGCGTGGCCGTGGAAGCAGGAGCTGATATTCTCATCATGCATCTCTGCCAGGAAACGGCCCCGGAGAATCAGAAGTTCATCCTGCAGGAGGTAAGGGAGCACCCTCCTTCCCTTCTTGCTGCTAGTCCTGGGGGCTGTAAGAAGGAACAAGAAAGTCAAACCTCTTGGGGCTCGTCCTAGCGGATCTCCAGGAGGGGACCAGTACAGGATGCTCTGGGAAACCAGGAAGGTCACAGTGAACAGAGGCAGTGGGGGTATTTAGGCACCATCAATTGTGTTTCCTTCTCCCTTCACCATTTACTCCCTTGCAGTGTTTTCTGCTGTACTTAGGCACACCATGCGCTGCCTGCCCTGGACTCTCATGGAGAGAGAAGCACTCACAAATGCATTCAAAGCTGAAATGGGGTTGAATTGAGTGGAACACATAGCCAAAGTATAAAGGAGTGAGGTTATGTCTACTAGAAGTCACCTCACTTCTCTGAGCCTCAGTTTTTCCAGCTCTGAAATGAATACAATAAGAGCATTACTCTAGTGAGGGTTAGATGTACACTCAGAAATATTTTTTGGAAACTCTAAAGCTCTGTAGAGATAATGTGATGTTATAACTAAGAAATAGACCTCTTCAAGATCATTCATTGTCTTGGGACCAGCAGATAGTGTAATGGTTATGTTGCTGGACTCCCATGTAGTCAACCATGGTTCGAGTCCCGGACCTGGTGGCTTAAAACTCATGCCAGGCACTTGCATTCCCAAAATCCCAAGGTGAGAATGGAGGAGAAGGGATTACAGTGTGGCCATGCCCCCTGGGGCGTGGTTTCTTGCTTTCTGTGTCTCTGTCTCTCCATCTCCGGCGAGAGCACATTTCCTAAAGCAAAAATCTCTCTAGGGGGAAAAAATAATTGTCTTTGGAGGCTTGGGAGTTGGCACGGTGTATAGCACCCCCTGCTGCTCACCATGACCTCTGACAGGTGAGGAACTCCAGCCAGGTGGCCAGTAACTGGCTCCTTCGCCCAGCTAGTCAGTGGGACTCCAGCCACATTTTCTGACTCGCCATTTAAATACATAAAAAAGAGATAACTAAGAGGGCCTTAGTTGATCTACAAGAAGTGAAAGAGATTAATAAAGGATCCTTTTTCCGATTTCCCTAAAGGAAATGAAAAGCAATAGGGATGAGATGTTGTATCTGACGGATCCCCAGAGCAGCCAGTAGGTGGCACCATCAGTCCTGAGAGACGCCAGCCTGGTGGTGCTTATTCCTGCCTGGTTCTCTGGACATAAGGGACAGCCCCGAGTTGCCATTTTGCTCTGAAGACAGTTACCCTACAATACATATTTCTGACATGATCAGAAAAAAAGTCACACTCTTCAAGAAACATTTTAAGAGAAAAGAGACTTTTCTGAGGAATCCCTAATTCTCGTAAATATTCAGCGTCTATTATCTTTTGTAGGATGGTTCTTTAATTCACCAACAGTCCAGGAAATGTGTCCAGGCTGCCAGGAAGGAATCGAGTGATAGTTTTGTACCCCTCTTACGAGACTGCACCAGCTCGGATCATCAGAAATGGTTCTTCAAGGAGCGCATGTTGTAAAGCGGAACTGTACCCAGGAGCCCATTGAAGGAGGTTGTGGGCCGTGGACTCTGTGCCCGTCAGAAACTTAGCTAAGGACAGCGACCACAGCCCACCAAAACCTGGAGTGCTCTATTTTTAGAAGGAAACCATATTGCCTTTTGTGAAAGTGTTGAATTTAGCAAAAATGTGAAAAGTTTTGTACTAATTTTGGAAACTTTCATAATGTCCCTAAATACCATATTTTCCATGGATGATCCTAAAAAGTTAACTCTTAGAACTCAGAGAATTAAAACCTTGTCATATTTTTCTATCAAGATGTGTATTCTCCAGTTGTGCCTTCTAGCCCCAGTGCAAACAAAGGTAAATGTTTTATTTTGGTATTTATAAGGATTCCCAGGTGTAAAGAGATTTGCACAAGTGGAAACCAGACGCAGGTGACGCGCTTTGCATAAACGGATAATACCTCACATGCTGGGTTCGAGTTTTCTCAGTAGGCAGAGACAGACACGAGAAACATTGTATTGGTTCCTACAGGATATTGACATATTTTAGATTTATTTAATAAAGAGTGCTTTTTGGTTATGTGTTGCCGCCGTTGTCAAAACTCTCTGATGCTCACTTTAGCCTAAGGACGCTAACCGAAGCTGAAATTGGAAGAAAAAAATTGATTTGCCAAGCTAACATCAACTTGAGAGTGAACTTCTGACAACTCCTTGCTGTATTGGGGCAGGCTGCTTTTAGTTATTACCACTGTGGCTTTGAAACACATTGTATCATTTTTAACGTTTATCACACAGTAGCCTCAGGGAGAAATTTCACATTCTATGTGCAGTTCATTTTTCACATTTGTTTATTGATACTATTTGGTCATTTCCATCACTGTTAGATTTTTGCAACATACACAGGAGCTGCTGCAGAAGGTTTTCTTAGTCATTCTGATTTGTAAATGATCCCAGATCAACTCTGAGATCTATCAACCCAATAAAGTCAATGTGAATAATTTTTTTTAAATGTGACAACACACAGATCTTTGTTTTGGTATCAGTCAAACAGGAGCAGTGAAGACACAGGTGCAATTAATTAAAAAGTATCAACTTGTGTTTCAGGTATATATATACAAACATTCATTCATACATAGACATACACATCCTCCTCTGTGAGAGATTCTGGCAGTGACCAGTTAGCAGTTCCCCAGAAACAACTCCAGTTGGCCTGACTAGGAAACATCTGCTGCATTTTAACTAGTCTGTCCTTCAACTCTTCATCTGTAAAATGGGATAATGAAGCCAAGCTCACAGGGTAGTTGTGAGGGTTCAGGAACACAGAGCCCCTGAGAGCTGAGCTCTGTCCTCAGTCAGTATGGGGTCATTCAACGTTAGCTCTGTTTTCATAAATGCAGTTTACAAAGTGTGAAGCACAATAAACATCAATAGGTGTTTATTCAAAAATAAGTGTGGGTGTGGTTCCTGACTTACAATGGTTTGACTTACAGGTTTTTTTTTTTAAAAAATTGCTACAGGGTATGTGTGCTGTCTGGAGAGATAGAGAGAGAGAAGGAGAGAGAGAGAGACAGAGACAGAGAGAGCAAGCACTCCCCCCTCCCCCCCCCCCCCCCAGGGTGAATGACCATGCCACACTCTCTTTTCTTCCATTCTGGGAGTATTTGACATCACACACATGCACCCGGTGTGCTTTTCAAGTCACCAAGTCCAGGACTTGAACTACAAAGTTGGCCATGTGAGTTCCAGCCACCTTAACCACCATGCCACTAGCTGGCCCTACGAGGTCGTGGGTCGTACAGTGTGCCTTTTGTGGCAAATTTCTTTATTCTGGTGGACAGGCTGATTCCAGAATGTCTCCCTGGTGACCAGGTGCCACTCTATTTCTAGACAGATGCCCCATAACTCTTGTTTCATCTGTGTCCAGTTTATTTACACCAAGGCAGCCACGCTCTAGGAGAGCTGTGACCTGGGAAGAAGTTCAGGTGTGCGGCTTCAGTGAGACCCAGAGCAGGCAGGGCAACAAAGCACATGACAAAACAGAAGCTGATCCCAGAGAGGGGAGGGCTGCTTACCAGTAGGAAGGGGAGGTCACCTGGGACATGCATACCCCACCAGTGGATCAGGAATAAGAGAGAGGGACCTAGGATCCAAAGCCTTTATTGGGTCCAGGTTTCCTGTGGAAAGCTAAGGGAAGTTCCAAATGGTGGGCTTTGAGGTTGACAGGTGGTCACTGTCGCTTATCTGTACAGCTTGTGTAGGGTAGGATGTTGTGGTCAGTGGGGCCAGTTAAGCTGAATCTCTATGTCCCATGGTGGTCACCAGGAAGCAGAAATATAGGAACCTGGGGTGGTGAGAGAAACTGATTTGAGGAACTGGGAGAGGCAGAGAACTGGAAAGTGTGTCACAGGAGACAGTCCTGGTTCTGCTCTGAGAATCTAACCTGCTTCATCAAGTATTTGGCTATTCTGAGTCTTGTAACCCTGAAGGGGAGGCAGGATAAAAGCTGCATCATGTCCTTTATCTACCAGTTTTCAAAATAATAAATTGGTTCTATAGTGTCCTATAAAGATGACCGATGAAGTTGCATGTATTTGGTATTTTAAATTTGTTAGTTAGCACATTTGATGCATTTAAAACCTGTATTCACAATAGATACCAAGACTATGTGAAATTATACAAACTCAGTATAGACTCTTTTCCTCATCTGACCATGCCACACTCTCTTTTCTTCCGTTCTTGTTTTGGGAGTATTTGGCATGCACACACATGCACCCGGTGTGTTTTTCAAGTCACCAGGTCCAGGACTTGAACTACAAAGTTGGTCTTGTGAGTTCCAGCCACCTTAACCACCATGCCACTAGCTGGCCCTAGAGGTCGTGCAGGTTTAAGTATGTGTATTGATTTCTTAGCCTTGTTTTTCAGTTACTTTTTAGCAGTTGCTTTAGGGCTTCCAGTATGCTCCCTGAATTTACCACAGTCGTCTTCATCTTGCTGTTGAGTTAATTCCAACACAATTTTCCAAGTGTGTACCACTATAGTTTTATTTCCTACCTTCTCCTTTGTGTTGTAATGGACATATATTGGGTGGTTGAATAAGTCATGATGGATTTTTCTGTTTTTCCGTGCAGAAATGTGGCATGACTTTTCCGACGACCCAATATATCTATATGTATGTTAGAAACTCAGCAATGGAGTGGTATAATTTTCACTTCAAACGGTGAAAGGAGAAATACAGCTGTTGCATTTACCCTACATTTTCTGTGCTCTGCATTATTGCCTGCGAATCCAAGTAACCCTTTGGTGTCATTTTCTTCCAGTGTAAGGAATTTCTTTAGTAGTTTAGCTAGATCAGTTTGTCACAGTCATTTTTTGTTTATTTGGGAATGATTTTGTTTTGCCTTCAGTTTTTGAAAGATAGTTTAGCTAGATACAGAATTTTTTTAATTAACAGGATTTGGTGTGTGTATTCTCTCTCAGCACTGTGAATCTGTGATAACACTACCTTAGAGCCCCCATTGTTTTGAATGAGAAATTGTCCATTAATCATGTTGTGACTTGTGTGTGATGAGTCATTTTTCTCTGGTTGCTGTTTATGGTTTTTCTCTTCATCTTTGTCTTTTGGCAGTTTGATTACAATAGGTCTTGATATCATCTGTGTGTGTTTATCATACTTAGGGTTCATTGAGCTTTTTGAAATGTAATTTAATGTTTTTTCTGTAATCTGGAAAGATTTTGGCGTTATTTCTTCCATTTTTTTCTGCCCCTTTGTTCTTCAGATTGAATCATTCTGTTGATTTGTCCTTAAATTCATGACCTCTGCTGTTTCACACCTGCTATTGAGTCTGTCTAGTCCTTTTTTCCTTTCAAAGGGATTGTACTTTTTCAACACTGAATATCCATTTGTGTCTTTCTTGTAATGTTTCTTTCTCTTTTGAAGTTCCTTATGTAATGATTCATTGTTAGCATATTTTCCTTTAATTCTTTGACTATAGTTTTTTTTTTAAGTCTTTGAATATATTTGTAGTGGCTGATTTGAAGCCTTCGTAATTTAGAAGATTAAAACAAGTATGCTATCTTTTTTTTTTTTTTTCTTGGAGAGGTTTTTGCTATAGGGCGTGTATGCTCACCAGAAAGACAGAGAGAGACAAAGGGACAAAAAGCGAGAAATCACTCCTCAGGAGGGATGGCCACACCATAGTCCCTTCTTCTCAATTCTCTTCTTGGGATCTTGGGCATGCACACACACGTGCCCGGTGTGAGTTTAAGTCACCAGGTCCGGGATTCGAACCTACGATCAATTACATGGGAGTCCAGCGACATAACCATTACATCAACTGCTGGTCTCAAAACAAGTATGTTACCTCACAGTTTTTGTAGGTTAGAAGTTGGGCGTGGCTTAGCTGGGTCTCTGCTCAGGGTCTCACTGGCTGCTGTCAGCCATGATTGTCTTCTCACCAGAGACTCAGGATTATCTTCCAAAATCACTGGTTGATGGATGATTAAGTTCTTTCAGACTACTAGCCTTCATCTTTAAAGCCACTTACCATTCCCTGTCTTGTAGTCCTCTTCACAGACTTGCTTGCTTCTTCAAGGCCAGTAGGAGAGTGTTTTTGTTTGTTTGTTTGCTTTTCAGAGGTTTTTGCAATATGGTACATGCGTTCACCAGAAAGACAGAGAGACAAAAAGCGAGAAATCACCCCCCAGGGGAGATGGCCACGCCGCAATGCCTTCTCCTCCATTCTCCTCTCAGGATCTTGGGCACATATGCACACATACCTAGCATGAGTTTAAGCCAGTGGGTCTGGGACTTGATCTGCTGGGAGTCCAGAGACATAGCCATTACACCAACTGCTGGTCCCAATAGGAGAGTGTTTTTTACTGATTCTTATGTCTTTTCAGGACTCACTTGATTAGATCGAACCCACCCAGGATAATTTCTCTTCTAGAATCTAAAAAGTTAACTGATTAGAGACTTTAGTCATACCCACACAATTCTTTCACTGGAGTAATATCCCATCATCATCACAGGAATTGACCACACTCCAGAGAGAGGCTTTCCACAAGGTTTGTGCATCAGACGTCATCTTGGAATTCTATCATAGGCCACCTCTGTCCCCAATAATTCATATCCTTCCCTGGGCAACATACAATCACTCCCGTCAGGATTTCTGGGTTTTCCTGTCATTTCTTCATCTCAATTCAAATCTTGTCAGATAAAAGTTCAAAATATGAATCAGGTCTAGGTCCATTTGAAGGTCCTGGGTATAATCCAGTAAGTACAGCCACTAAGGCACAATTTATTTTCACCTGTGGACCTGTAAAATTAGATAGGTGTCTGTCCCAATACTTCCGACATACAGTTGTGGGGTAGGCTTAGGGTTATAGTTATAGACACCTGGCTCAGAGCGGGGAACACGAGACAAAGGGAATCGTGGTTCAGTGATTTTTGAAATCCAGCCAGGCAAGTGTTTGACTTTTCTTGTTTAGGATTCAAGACTTGAATAATTCTCAGGTGCATTAAAAACTTGGGCTTAGGGGGACCAGCAGTTAGCATCGCTGGACTCCCATGTAGTTGACCAT